TGTGAAGTAAAGACAGAAAATAAAGTTCAGCTTTTTACCTTCAGCTCTCGTCCATCAGGTGAGAAATTATGACAAATAGTTTAAAGGCTCTTCTAGATATTTTAATTATATAAAGAAAATATCTATAAAAAATATTGTTGGGTTATGTTCTCTTTTTAGAAAAAGACAAAACTACCCCATCAGCAGTTACAACTATAACAGACAAAACATCAGTCTGTAGAGACGGAGGTACAAACAAACCGTTTGCTGAAAATATGGAACAAAGTGAGTCTTAAATGATCATTTAATGACATTTTTAAACAAATAAAGTTTATTAGTTTTAAATATTGCAGTTTTAGGTCTTCCATTGTAGTTTGCATTCATGCAGTTTTTACATTAACTGATTTTGCACCAATCAAAGTTGTTCCAGTTTCTCTGCTTGTCTCTGATCAGAACCTGCAGACTGGTGGAGGTTCCTCTCTGGTTCTGTGGGTTTAGCTGCTCTGATAGCAGCTGTTGTGATCATCAGCATCTGGACCAGAACTAAAGGTCAGAGTATCAACAGATCATTGTGAAAACTGGACAAACAGGAAGGGTCTTCAGAAAAGTTTAATATTTGTTCTTCTGTTTTAGGGAGGAAAACACATCTGGATGAAAACGCTGTGAGTTTTTAAACTAAATGTGAATAATTTGTTTTCCTGCAGAGTAAATTAAATGTGATCTAAGTAAATGTATCTGCCAGGACGATGTGAGGAGCTGGAGTTTATTAGTGCCTGAGAAACGTTAATCATGCAGAAACTACCTGAATTAAAACACCAGCTTGATTTAGCCATAATTTCAAAGAGATAAAATCTGATCTTAGTGCTAAATTAATAGTAAACTGATCATATATTTCCACTACATTGATCTTTTTTAAATGTCAGATGTTAATATGTTGTTTGTGTTTCTCTCAGGTGTGTCATGATGAAGATGAAGCTGCACTGAACTATGAAAACACCAGAACTTCTTCAGTTTGATCCTCCTGCTTTTCTCCGACTCAGCAGATCTAGAAAGTAAACATCAGCAGGTTTATCTGTTTTAATGTTATCTGTTGTAATAAAAACTGCTTCATTTTAAATATGTCAGAATAAGCGTAAGAAGAATTTAATGAGCAGATTATTTTTCAGATAAAATATCAATTTTGTTAATAGATAATTCAAAAAATGAGTTATTTCCTGGTTTATTCTGCAGAGCATCATGAATTGATGATGTCATCCTGATGAGTAAAGCGGTAACTGAACAGTGTGGAGGATCATCCTTCTCCATGCTGAGTTTGTGATGTATGAGGTTGAAGAAGTCAGTGAGTTGAATTCATGAAGTCCATTTATTAAAACCAAAATACAGCTGGTCCATAGTTCATGTTATCCTTAAGAACAAAATGGCGTCAAACAAAAGTTTTCCATTTGTTAGCCTCTTTCTAAGCTACGCCCTAAAAACGGCGTCCCTAGTGTGTCATAACCTTTAACCTCAGCTTTGAGGGCGTTTCCTAACATGTCATTTCCTTTAGTTTTAGCTTTGCAACTAGCTAAAAGAGAAGAAAACGCAGAATTATTTATTCTCAACAGGAACATATTTACTGCCACCTAGAGTCAGATTTACATCGTCGCTTTGCATCAGGTTCATCAGTTGGTTTATCATCCAGAGATCAGAAGTTTCCCTGAGCTCCAGGAGGGATAGTTATAGATCCGCTATAGATTTCCACAGAATGTCGAGTGTAAACATTTGTCCTTTTAATTTGCCTTAAGCTGTCAGCATTTGGTGCATGATGTAATATGTTATGCAAATGTTTTTAAATTCATTTGCTTTGCTTTTATTACTCAAAATGAGACATGATGCTGCCATTACCATGCATAGTTAATCATAAATGTTCTGTTTTTATCTACTTCTTGGTCTGTTCGCACATTCCTGCTGAAAAATGTAGACAAAACTTTTCCAGAGGTTCAAAACTCACTTTTTTAATAATTTTTAGATTATTTTTTTTCTTTATGTGTGAAGCAGCTGAAATGACTTGTATTGTGAATTTATATTTTGTTAATAAACTGAACTTATTTAAGATGGACGTGTCTTTAATTTGTAGATTTGGTTCTTTATTGACGTCTGATCAACCTTAACCTGTTGGTGAGTTAAACAGAACTGATCATTACTTTACAGATAATTTGTCAAAATGTTTGGTGATATCGATCTAATTTTTTATCTTGAAATTTAGACCATATTTAGTTTTAAACTTAACATCGATGAATTACCAGTCGCAGCTTTAGATGCACTAAATGGATGCATGATGCTGCAGAGACTGAAGTCATTTTATCACATTCAGAGCTGCTGCTTCTGTCACCACATTCCCATGAAAATACTTCCTGTTTTAATAAACTGAACTGACGTAAGATGGATGGGTCAGAGCTCTGCTGCTTCTGTCACCACATTCCCATGAAAATACTTCCTGTTTTAATGAGCACAGACAGAAGGAGGGCAGAAAACTTCCGATCTGCATGAATCCACCCCAAGTTATCACACCAGAATATTTCCTATCTTCTGCATCAACACAAAATGTAGCAGAGCAGTAAACTTACAAAATAATGTTATTTTTAACATTGACACTCAACAAATTGGGTAAAATGAAATCAATTGTTACACATTTTTGAACCACATATATGGTTCCTGTTCCTGTTTTCAAAGAATGGCTCCACTTTTTCACGTTACACCATGGGAGTCGAGTTACATTAACAATTTGAAGACTGAAATCTTATTAGTATTTACTGATTGGTATTTTTACTCTTTATGTAACAGTTTTATTTATTTGCATTATACTTTTTTAATTCTGCAAAACATTTTACATGAAAGTTTAAAATGTAAATGCTTCTTATTATATAGTATTTGCTCATATTGAACAGTAGGGGGCGCCAGCTACTTTGGTTGTCCCCAACATGATTTCTGTTCAGAAATGTTAAAAATCAGTAATTAGTGTATCAGTAGATATATTCAGTAAGATGTTTAATGCATTTTAGCATTAAAACACTTCTTCATTAACCTTTTCTTAAACCTTTGAGTAAATATTATCTTAATATGGACGTTTTGATCAATGTTTCCTACATCCATTATTTTTGTCATTAATCCACAATAAGATCATGTCCAGTTAGATGACTCTCATCATCTAATTTTGTAGTAAATTTGTTGCATTTCAGTGTCTTAAACACGGAAACTGGTTTCAAAATGAAGGCTGCAGAAACTGACCAAACATTTCTACATTAAACCACCAGCTGGGTGTGAAGCATCACAGCCTCCATGATGAAGCTAAAACCTAAAAAGTACAGGAAGTAGAAACATCGTGGTTCAAGAGCTCCAGTTCTCACTGAGGTTCAGGAAGCAGAGAGACGATGAAGCAGAGAGGAGCCATGGAGGATTCAATGTGGAGGAAAATGTTTCTGTTTTTCATCCTGCAGTTTACAGGTGAGACTCTGAACAACTTCTGTTTACTAAAGTCTCTTCATTTCAACATTAACGTAACTGATTCATCGATGCCTCATGTTGGTAGTTTCATAAAGCAGAACCTGAGTTTAACTTCCTGTTGATAATCTGGTTCTAGAAGATGTGAAATGTCTCTACAGTTTTTCTTTATTCATATTTTTATGTGAATATTTCTGCTTCATGTCATCAGGAGCTCTCAGCCAACATCCCTTACTCTCCTTCACTGTCAGAGCTGGAGATGACGTCACTTTGTCTTGTGAAAATGTGATCAAGACTCACAGTAACTGTGACACAACAACCTGGAACTACAATAGTCAAAGACAATTAACTGTAGAGTTAGTTGCTCATGGGCAGGTTAAGAATATCAGATCAGACAGACTGAGTGTTTCTGCAAACTGTTCTCTGGTTGTAAAGAAAGTCACAGATGAGGATGTTGGTTTGTACACCTGCAGACAGTTTGTATCAGGAAGACAGACAGGTTCAGATGCTTCAGTTCATCTTTCTCTCGTTCGCTGTGAGTATTATAAAATATTTTCATCTTCAGCTTTAAGCACCAACAACCTGCTGACAGCAGAATCATGATGATTTCATAATCTGAATTAACCAGTTACTCTGCTTTTCTGTTTCAAATCCTCCTCAGTGACAGAACAAGAGGACCAGAACAGAGTGACTTTAACCTGCTCTGTGGTGACAGATGGACCATGTAAACACTCAGTGAAGTGGTTGGTTAGTGGTAACAATGTGGATAAAGACAACAAAGATTTTACAGAATCATCATCTTCCTGCTCGGCTGCTGTCGCCTTCCAGACGTCTCATTACATTTACCAGTCAAGGTTTAACACGTTCAAATGTGAAGTAAAGACAGAAAATAAAGTTCAGCTTTTTACCTTCAGCTCTCGTCCATCAGGTGAGAAATTATGACAGTTAAAAGTCTCTTGAAAATATATTAATTACATAAAAAAAATTTCTAAGAAGCATTGTTCACTTATGCTCCATTTTTAGAGAAAGACAAAACAACAACCACCTCAGCAGTTACAACTAAACCAGACGAAACATCATTCATCCCAATGACAGATGGAGTCACTCCAACACGTCCTCTAGATGTGGAACAAAGAAAGTTTTACTTGTTCACATTTAGTGTTGCTTTTAATCACAAATTAACCTCAGAATGATTCTTTAAATACTTTTATTGACATTTCGCTTTTCCCATCAGGTTTTCTGTGGTTGTACATCACTCTGCCTCTGGTTCTACTGGCCTTGATAATAACTCTGTTCATCCTGTTAAAGAGAACTAGAGGTGATTTTTGAAGTCCAAGACATTCAGTTAAACTGAATTTAACTTCTGAATAAACTTAAGAGGCTAATCTGAAACCTTTTTCATTTTTAGGCCACAAAGCTAAACAAACTTCCAGTGACGTGAGTTTAAAAAATGTTCTTGTTTTAAATGTGTTTTACTTTATAAAATGTAAAAGAAGAGGCAATTATAGGAAGTTTGTAGCAGATAAACATGAAGCTGATTATTATCTTGTTTATCCAAATTTGTGCATCGAATAAAAGCAGCAACTTTGCCGCAGGATATTTGACGTCTGAATTTAGTTGCACTTTGGTTGTAAAATATCTCAAATAACATTTTGAAAAGCTGACCCAGATTAATCTGACTCTATGTTTCTACAGGGTGTAACTCTTAGACCTGCAGAGACTCAATCTGCCTCTGAAAATCAGCAACATGAGGTAAATAACAGCTTCGCTTGTTCCCTAAAATGTATGTAAATGCTGCTCATTGTAGAAGATTGTTTAAAAATAAAGTTGAAGTTTCTGTGAGCTGCTGTGTGACAGAAAAAAGGAAAATGTCAAACGAGAAGTAAAACGAGAGCTATCTTGAGATAAGCCACACCGTTTTGGAGAAGTAACATGTCTGCATGCATCACTTGTTCCTGAGCGGTTCTCACTCTCTGCAGGTTGATCCGGAAAATGGAGTTTTCTACGCCTCCATCAGCTACACCAAGAAGTCCCACAGCAGCAGGGTAACATGTCTCTGTTCTTCATTCTAACTTGTGAGGAGCTGGTAGTTCTTCAACCAGCATAAAAATGTTTATTTGACTAACTTTTACTCAGAGCAACTGGATAAATCAGAGCAAATCAGTGAAAATCTGAGAAGGAAAAAGTGGATTTACAAAATTTGAGAAAGTTTGTTGATCATTCTACAGGCTCTGAGATCTCCATTGCAAACATTACAGTGGTCCAAAAAAATCCACTAAACCGGTATTTTAATAGTTAAATTAGACCAATTTAACACTCCTAAGAAGGCTTTCCCAATTTAAACTCTACTGAAAGTTAAGAAATGAGCTCAAAAGTTTAGCCTGAAGTAGAAAACCAACTTTTTAAGGAAATTCACCAGTTTTGATAAGAATGTGGTCAGTTATACAGAAAGGTGCATATTTGACCATGTGCATCTTGCATAAGAGACCATTTAACCTAAAAGTATACGCAGAGTCTGTATGCATTTAGAATGTGTGAATTTATTTATCCTGTGTTATTCAAAGTTATTGTAGGTCTTGTTTTAGTTTAGAAATTCATTGGCAACATAAATGTGATGGGTGTATGCAAACTTCTGACCAGAGCTGCTTCTTCTTTTCTGTTTCTGCAGGATAAAAATGATGATGAAGATGAAGCTGTGACATACAGCACCATGAAAACTCAGTCCATAGATCCCAGCAGCCTCTATGCTTCCATCAAGAAACCAAGCAAACAGTCTGAGGTCCCATAGCTAAATGCTAGATTTACTGTTACAGGCGTGCATTGTTGGAAAAAAAGGGAAATGTCTCATTATTAATTTAGATAACTGCATAAAAGAATGAAAACAATGTACATTGCACTTGTTTAGCTGTGATATGGTTAATTACTATGACTTATTAACCAAGCTTTGCAATGTTTGTTTTGTTTTAAATTCCAATTTCAAACTGAAAACCAGGAATTTTATTTTGCAGGTTCAGTGTTTAATATTTATTTATTTTTTCATTTTTATCTGAGTATTTATCTGAGACTGAATAAATGGATGTGATATAATTAGTATAGTATTATAAATGACTCCGTCCAGCAGAGTAACTGAGATGTGGAACTGTAAAAGTCATAACTACCACTGTTATTTTGAAGCTGGACAAAAAAGGAGAACAGCTCTTTAACCCCCAAGTTGTGTTTTCTTACAGTTATATTTCTTAAAAGAAACCACCAATTTAGAGAAGTAGATGTGTGAAAACAGGAAAGAGACGTTTTGAGAGCTAAAGTTTGCACAGGAACTCATTTGTTTAAACATTTATTGATGATCCTTGTAAGGGACTGATGATTGGTATGATTTTTAGAGAAGTAATTTTATTTTCTGCTAGAATAGTTACAGGTTTCCAGATAATAAAGCTCATTTCTTACATCGTGTTTGTGTGATGCCACCTGCTGGTGAAATGTGAATAAAGTTTACATGTGAAGGGGTGTGTATTAATGCCTTGGGCTTTACATTATATACTGTTTTTGTCCATAAAATTTAAGAAAAAGTTAAGCTCTCCGTTTTTATTGTATTTGTATATATGTTTAATAAAGAAGACAACAAAATTCTGTTGACTAATTTTTATGACTGGAGAATGTACAAAAGATAAATAAACCATAAAATGCAATGAAGAAAATTTTATATACAACATATATAAACTATCATAGAAACTGAAGAACAGGTGAACTTGATTTTAAAATGGATGAGAAAAGATAAATCAAGCTGTTGTTTGGTCAGGCTCCTGTTGTCTCCTTTTCAGATTTGATGTGTAAAACGTTCTCCAATCCACGAGGTGGCGCTGCGGTTTATGTTCAAACTGGGGCAGGAACCGGAAGTTTTCCTCCGTGGTAACAGTATCAATTTCCAGTGTTGTGATGTCGGCCGAACCTTGAATTTTTGCTGGGTTTTATTTTTCTTTCAAATCGCGAATAATTAACTCCGTCTTTATTTATCAAAGCAGCTGAAAACACAACCGGAAGTGGCTGTTAGTAGTTCGGTAAGTTTTAAACGCAGAATTACATTATCAAACGATCCTGGTGATCAGTTAGCCGTTTGTTAGCGGCTACAAACCGGCACAGTCTATAAAATATCACTTTCTTGTGTTTAATATTTTACATGTGTTAACATATATGAACTGTTAGATAAAACATTTGTTGTTTAATCACATATTTCTTGCTGAACCGCCGAGTTCTGTGTTGTTAGCATGTAGCATGCTAACGGTGGGAGGTTCCAGAAAAGGTCTCGTCTGCTTTAGGTTTCAGTCACTGGGTTGGTTTGCATGTATGCTCTGTGTGTCAGATGTGTCTGGGGAAACCTTAGACCATGAGCAACAGTCACCCTCTGCGGCCTCTGGCCTCCGTGTCGGAGATCGACCACATCCACCTGCTGTCGGAGCAGCTCGGAGTTCTGGTGGTGGGAGAGGAGTACAGCGACGTCACCTTCGTTGTGGAGGGGAAGAGATTCCCGGCGCACCGGGTCATCCTGGCTGCTCGATGCCACTACTTCAGGTATCAGTTCAGGTTCATCGGTCCTGCTGTTTTTCTAAGGGATCTCTGCAACTGGAGGGCTTTAATTAAACTTCTGAAATAGTTTTCTATAAAAATAAAGTATATTTGTTTTGAAATAATCATGTTGTTTATTGTCCCTTCTTGCCCTGACACACATTATGTTGCTGACATGTCATTATCCACCAATTTAAATCGAATAGATTCAAATTTAATTCTGAAAAAGCATAGCTACAACTAAAACATTTTCACTAGCATTTAATTCAGTTAAAAATATTGATTATCCCAAATGAAAATTAATTTTTTATCGTACCATCCAAGGATATGCAAAAATTAGTTGTGGATGGTGATGCTGTGGGCTGAAGTGATTTCCAGTAGCAGTCAGTCTTACAACTAATCTGAATATACCTCTGACTGAAGACTGACTGTTACAACATGCTAACAGGTCAATTTCAGGGCAGCAGAGATGATATTCCTCAGTAACATGTCCTGGATGAAACCATCAGTTCTTGGCCAGCACTGCTAATCCACCTCATTTGCTTTTGACGCTCCTCTTTAAATCTCTGTCTGGCTGTTTGGTTAGAATGGCGGGCAGAGAGATGTTGGAGTAGGGGGATATGATCCATGCCCATTTTGATGAGAGGTTTTGAACTTTCTCTGGTTGTTAAAACCATTGTTGTCATGACTGTGCATCAAAAAAAGCAATGTCTCAACCAAACTTCTCAGTCTAACAGGTCTACTCCAACATGCTGCCATTATGAGCAGTGTAGTTCTATATAGAATAGACATTACATGAATACCCACCCTTCATATACTTGGTGTACAGCTAAATTATTTAGAAATATCTGGTTCCAGTTTTAATTTCTAGACATAAATAAATAAATCTCAGCTTATTGAAGGTGATCTTTTTTTTTCCTGCACATTAAAATGATTATATTGTTTTGGACATAAATGGTCATCATAATCTATGATGATCATGCACCATGATTCTGTTCTAATCAATCTTGTTCCTTCTGCTTTTAAGAATTAATTTCCCTGTCTAGCCTTCTGCATCTATCAGTTAAATACCTACTGTTAAATGTAGTTATCTCTCTGATCTCTGTGGCTGCTTCAGGGCCTTGCTGTACGGTGGGATGAAGGAGTCCCAGCCCCAGGCTGAGGTTTGTTTGGAGGAGACCCGGGCCGAAGCGTTCTCCATGCTGCTGAACTACCTGTACACGGGCCGGGCCAGCCTCAGTTCTGCCCGGGAAGAGGTGCTGCTGGACTTCCTGGGCTTGGCTCACCGCTACGGCCTGCAGCCTCTGGAGGATTCCACCTGCGAGTTCCTGCGCACCATCCTGCACATCAACAACGTGTGTCTGGTGTTCGACGTGGCCAGCCTGTACTGTCTGAGCGCGCTCAACGAGGCCTGCTGCGCGTACATGGACAGACACGCGCCAGAGGTTCTCAACTCTGACGGCTTTCTGTCGCTCTCCAAGGTAACATGATGGAGCTCATTACTCTCTGCTGCTGTCCAGAGAAAACATTCATACAAGCTGTGTAGGTCCATTTAACATTTTTGTTTGTATTTTAGAATAATCTGCTCTGATTGTTCTTTCTTATGTCATTATTTATCTGAAAAGTTCCAACATTATGACAGGTTATCTCTACGACTCATTTTTATTATTTGATTTTATTCCTGTCCTATAAAACAATACATTTTACAGTTTGACGTAATATTAAAAGCAAAGTTGTAGGGCTGCAGCTAACAATTAATTGATTATTCTGTCCGTTATTTTGACAATCGGATAAAAAATTGGCATATTCTGCTGAGTTTTAATTTAACAGCTTAAGTTTATTTTATACAATATTTAAAGGACATTAAAATACATAAACATTAATCGATTCCTAAATTAGTTAATGATTATTTCAGTCATTGGTCATCCTATCAGTTCTGTTGGCTTTTTAAATCCCACCTGTGCTTCATTTGAATGTCCTCCAGGTGGCGCTGCTTACTGTGGTCCGTCGGGACTCGTTTGCTGCCAGTGAGAAGGAGATCTTCCAGGCTCTGTGCCGGTGGTGCCAGCAGCACGAGGACGGGGTGGACACACAGGAAGTGATGTCAGCAGTGCGTCTTCCGCTCATGACTCTGACGGAGATGCTGAACGTTGTGCGGCCATCCGGCCTGGTGAGCCCTGACGACCTGCTGGACGCCATAAAGAGCCGCTCAGAGAGCCGCAACATGGACCTGAACTACCGGGGAATGCTCAGTGAGTTCTGCTCTGACCGGACCCGCAGAGCGGCTTCAGCCTTTCTACATCACTGTCTCTGTGTCTGATCCCAGTCCCAGAGGAGAACATCGCCACCATGAAGCACGGAGCGCAGGTGGTCAAAGGAGAGCTGAAGTCGGCTCTGCTGGACGGAGACACCCAGAACTACGACCTGGACCACGGCTTCTCCAGACACCCCATCGAGGAGGACGGTCGCTCCGGCATCCAGGTCAAACTGGGCCAGCCGTCCATCATCAACCACATCCGGCTGCTGCTGTGGGACAGAGACAGCCGGTGAGACGGCCTGCATCAACAAAAGAAGTTCAACTCTGGCTGATAACTGTTGCTTTTAGAAATGTTACATGATGTAGTTCATCTAGAACATCTGTTGAGTTGGAGGCACTGACTGATTTAACTGATTACATCCTCATTCTAAAGACATTTAAACCAGTTTTCAGTAAATCTAACCAGTAGGATATGACATTGATTGTTTCAGGTCGTACTCGTACTACATCGAGGTTTCCATGGATGAGCTGGACTGGGTGCGGGTCATCGACCACTCCAAGTACCTCTGCAGATCGTGGCAGAATCTGTACTTCACACCACGAGTTTGCAGGTAAATTAAACTTTTATATTTCTCCTGGTTCAGTTCCTGTTCCAGTTCCACTCACATATATTAGTGAAAAAACAAAAACAATCAATTTAGGCTTGAGTTGCATTTTTGTTATAATTGTAATTAAGTTTAATCTTTAGTTATTTGCTTTTATGTAACTTCTAACCTGTTAATCAGTTATTTCATAATGTTGTTTAACTGGGAGTCGCCGTGGGAACCGAACAGCTGTTTCAGGAACTAGCTTCAGTTGTGATGGATGCAAACAAACATGATGAGATAACTCATTCACAGCCTTTATATGCATGTTGCTGCAAACAGTTAGCTTCAGCAGTGATGCTGTTAATTGTATAAAAACAGATTGACTTCATTACGACAGGATGTATAAGGGAGTTTATGTATAAATGTTTGAGTTTGGACTTTTTCATGTGCAGATTTAATGTTTGTGGCATTTGGAGGTTTAAACTTTTTCTCTTGTTGCTTGAAAACTTTACAAAGTTATGCAGAGTTGTAAAAGATCTCTGTTAAACATGATTTTGTGTCTGTGTTCATATTTCTACATTGAAAAAGATGCATATGAGCTCATTTTATTGTTAGATAGATCCTGATTCACTGTGTTAAAATGTTAGAGAAATAAAAAAAAACAAGAACATTTTAATATTTTGGAATTTCTATTGTCTAATTTTTTGTTAACAGCTGGTTATCTCACTCAAAATAAATGTATTTAGAAATTAAAAGTGATTTATGTCCTCTTAAAGGGCATAAAAATTAAAAATGTTGCTCATCCTCTGTAGCATCATTGAACTTGAACCAAAATCTCTGTGATTTATTTTAGTCTCCTGGTTTTTTGTTGTTGTTTTCTTCTCTTCAGATATTGGATGTTTTTCTGATTAGATTTTTTTTTCTTGTGTCTGCAGATATGTCCGCATCGTTGGGACACACAACACGGTCAACAAGGTGTTTCACCTTGTAGCTTTTGAATGCATGTTCACTAACCGACCATATACGCTGGAGAACGGCC